AAGTGTATGTGACATAGTTTGACTGGTTGTGTTAGAAATGATACTGGGTGTGTGTGAATCGGTGAACTCATGCTCGGAACCTGAGGAGACAGTTTTCATACATGCAAGAGCTCCCCTGCGATTAATAAATAAATTCAAGAAAGGATTCACAGAAAGATAAGACCACATAAACACATTCTACACTTATATTCTTGTCATATTATTATGACAACTTTATAATTTGAGATTGGCTAAAATAACCGTGGAACCTAAACTTCTTGATGTTCTATTTAAGACCTTGATTCGAAACTTAATTTTATTGTCATAAGGTGTTACAATAAATGTATCACTTTTCTTCAGTTACATATCGTATTGTACCAGCAGTAGTTTAATCCGAATGGGAGAAACGTTACACCAAAGTGAAAGTAAAAGGTGTAACTCATCGTAATGTTAATGCTAATACCGGGGAAAAGGGTGAATCAATTGAGACCGGAGTGAGTTGAACTTTGTTAATGAAGTGAGAACTAGTATAAACTTATCTGACTTTACTGAAACAAACTTGTAGCAGTTGCACACCCTCTCACATCGCCGTAGCCGCCACTCAGCTGCTTCCGTCTTCCGCTAACTTTACCTTCCTTTTCCCTGCAACCAGACCGACCGACACATTGTATTTTCTTAATGAGACTTCCGAGTTATACCAAACAATTTCAATTAAGTAGTTTTGTATGAGTTTTCCTTTACGGCCGATTTTACTTTACATCGCCGGCATGAATCCGGATTGTCTCCCTGCGTAATCTCGTTTCAACTCATCATACCCTCTTTGTACGGTCTAACCGAACCTTTCTCTTCGTTGATTATGGGAAAAATTCCTTAGACTTTTTTAGTCTTAAAATAGTTAATAATTTGTCACAATTTAAGGTATTTACATAAAAAATAAAGCACCAGTAATGAAGAAACAGTTAGATGGCTAATTACGACGGGAACTATTAATATAATCATAAATAATAACATAATGAAAAAGTAAATTTGTAAACTGTACACGTATAAAAATTCACATTAAAAATTTTTGCGTATGTTTTATTCTCCCGGTCAGTGACTAGGGCTACGTACAACGGATTAGGGGTGAGAACGACTTGGAGACATCGCTGTTTGAAACGACGTAGAGGGTTTTTTGGATGGGAAAGTGCATATAAGGCTTTGGCAGTTGGCTTAGGATGTGTAGAACGTTTGTTGCGGTAGTTTTGGAAGTGGGATCGGATCAGCTCATTTACAAAATAAATATGAGGTCGTTGAGGATAGTGAGGTTACTATATAAGTAGTAAGTGTCAATTTATATGAGAACTTTTGATTGATTGGCTGCGCTTGATGTTGGAGGGCTTGAAGGAAACTCACGCTTCCACTCTGTATGCCCAAAGTGGTCGATATAATGTTTTCTGTTAAGTTCGTTCAGTTTTGACGATCAAAACCGATTTCCGTCCGATAAGTCTTTATAGTTGTCCTAGTCTTCTGTTAACTTGTCTCTTAGGCCTTGTGTGCGGATTTCATACCTGTTATCTAGGTATAGTACTAAATGTCTGAATTGTGAAATTCGATATTCTTGGTGATGTACACTGAAGGGAAAAACTGTTTTTCATTGTAAATATACACGTGGTATATTTTTCTGTGTTCTTTGTTGTTTAAGGTTATATTCAGGTTAGAAGACAAAATTGCGACGTGCAAAGGCAAAAACATCCTGTTACTAGGTACCGATCTTATCGTGATGTACAGGAAAGTCAGCAGTATAAATTGTATTTATACTTACAGATGGGATCAATAATGCTCCCTTGTTGCCTCACTCTAAAGCAGAGGTCATTTAAATAGGATTGGAGGCTAAAGAAATAAGGAGTGGGTAAGAACTTTAAGTTTGTAAAGGATTCTTCGATGCCAGGACCCTATCAAATTTCTGGGCCAAATCCAGGTCCGCACCCAAGCAATACTGTTCTGTTGTTCTAGGGTGAAAAAAATTATGCCAATTCCTCTGAAACTGCCGATTCCCTTGTCTAGATATTTTCTACTTCTCTTGGAGTTGGGATTACATCACTGTTCAAGTCTGCAGTATTGAACCAAGATAAGGTTAACCAGTTAACCAGGAATACAGGATAGGACCAATAAAATTCCTTTGTCAGCTTGCCAGCTCCGACGAATCTCAAACTAACCGTATTTCAATTTAATGCACAGGGCAGTTAGATAGATTTCTAGGATAAGGTAAAAATGGTGGTAGGAAGTATTTAAAATTAAAAAGACTCTGGACGCCAGACCGCATGAAAAGCTTGGTCCATATCCAGGAAATCAAGGAATTGCTTTGTCCGCTAGAGCTGAGGACATTGTGTAAATAACTCTGAGGCCTTCCTCAATCGTGAAACTATGGAGATGAAAGCTGAATTAGTGAGTACGAATGATGTTATTTATATCTAGAATTGGTATTAAACGTTTTAAAACGAGTCTTTCGAGATCGTTTTAAGACAGCACTGGAAGAAAGCTGATTCAGTCTTTAGAAGGATATGAGGGTAGGAGGATCTGCTTTCTAGGTATAGTCTTAAGTATTTGACTTGAATGAAAGACGGTATCTCTTTGTTTCTTCATTCAGTCTTATTTTCTAATGTTGGCACCAGTCGTCGATAAGCTCAAAGTATTCTTGGATGATAGAGGTAGCTTACATTGGGTTCGAGTTAGAGGACAAAATTGCGTTATAGTCTGTAGTAGGTGGTGATGGTATTGGGGTGTGCAGGTAGGGTGTGTAATATGGATGATATAAAGGATGGAACCAAAAATGCCCCCTTTTAGACGCCGGCTTCTATCATTATAATTTCCTAGAAATACTTGTCACTACTTACTCTGCAGCAGCGGTCTGTTAAGTAGGATTTCAGGATAAGATAATAAGGAATGAGAAGGAAGCGTTTATGTTTATAAAGCATGCCTGGGTGCCAGACCATATCATAACCCCGTGCTACATCTAGGAGCACAAGCAATACTCATTGTTCTCTAGAGCAGCGGAGGTCGTTTCAACAACTCTGAGACTGCTTAATCATGAAATGGCCGAATCGGTGAGAATGAATGATCTTATGAGTATCTAGTATGGGTATTAATCGTTTTAAAAAGAGTTTTTCGAGGATTTTGGACATCACTGGACAAAGGCTGTTCAGTCTGAAGGAGGTATTTGAGAGGTTTTTATGCTTTAGAAATAAGATGACAAGGAATACTTTGATAATAGAGGAGAGTGCGTGGTGAATTCTGAGGAAGGTTCCGAAGTATAGTAGAAGTAATTGGATGTCCAGTGGATTATCTACTTGGTGATTTGTTATAAAATACTTAACCTAAGAATGCCAACATTAAAATTTTTAATTTAACTGTAATGAACAAAACACGATAAAATCAAACCTAAAAAAAATTAGAACTGTCTTATTATATCAGCTGAAGTGTCTGCAGATTGGCATAAGTAATAAGAAAAAATGTTTATTAGCAGCATATATCAATCGGAAAAAAACAATTAAATTACATAGTATATTTAATTACATTATTTTACAAATAACCGATAATACTGTACATTTGTAGTGCAATGTTTTGGTTAGATACTTTGTTATTTGTTCAATTGTCTTTCAAAGAAATAAATTCAATTATATAATTTTTGTTTTTGTAAATTACTACAGAAATCATTTTAGTTTGCGGAAAGTCTTTTCGAAAAATAAAAGCGAAACTATTTATTAATGATTAAAGCTCTTGTTCAGTCGCTTTATATGAAATTCTTTTCCGTGGTATACATTTGTTCTCAGGCGCCCTGTTTTTATTCGCAACAATGGTCCAAGTCAGATATGGTATAATGCATGGCATCCTAACAAAAGGAATAATTTTGTTTTTCCCTTCCCTACATTTGATATGATATTTATATGGTATGTCACATTAAAGCATAATGATTCCTTTACCCCAGTCATGCATTTTCTTCTTCTCTTCTTGAAATATATTCAAATAAAAATAATGCAACTTGAGACTATTATAGATGCAATTAGAGGACTATTTTCGTTCAAAATGATTAATCTGTCTAATGACATTTCATCGTTAATGTGCAAAAATTTCAGTACCATTATTGAATTTTTTTTAAGAGGATCCTTTGCGTTTTTATAGTACGCTTATTTTGAACTCACGTTCTTCATACTTAAATTAGATTTAAAAGCATTCAAGTTCTGAAATTTATTAATATATAAATTCTACTATATAAAAAGTCTACTAAATAAATAAAGTCTACTATGTAAATCGTAATAACAACCTAATAATATAGATCTTTATTGTAAAAAGTAAAATAATTTGCGTTTTTAAAGCACGCTTATTTTGAACTCACATTCTTTATACTTAAATTAGATTTAAAAGCATTCAAGTTCTGAAATTTATTACTATATAAATTCTACTATATAAAAAGTGAACTAAATAAATAAAGTCTATTATGTAAATCGTAATAACAACCTAATAATATAGATCTTTATTGTAAAAAGTAAAATAATTTGCGTTTTTAAAGCATGCTTATTTTGAACTCACATTCTTTATAATTAAATTAGATTTAAAAACATTCAAGTTCTGAAATTTATTACTATATAAATTCCACTGTATAAAAAGTCAACTAAATAAAAAAAAGTCTACTATGTAAATCGTAATAACAACCTAATAATATAGATCTTTATTGTAAAAAGTAAAATAATTTGCGTTTTTAAAGCATGCTTATTTTGAACTCGCATTCTTTATAATTAAATTAGATTTAAAAGCATTCAAGTTCTGAAATTTATTACTATATAAATTCTACTATATAAAAAGTCTACTAAATAAATAAAGCCTACGAATTGTAATAACAACCTAATAATATAAACGTTTATTCTAAAAACTAAAATAATTCGTCATTAATAAAAGACGGAAGAAAACATGTTTATTGAACTTTGAACGTCACCTATTATTATTCCTTTAAATAATAATACGCTTCTGGTTATTTTTGTTTTTAGACTGATGCTTATCCATTGCCGCCAACTGGAACCGAGTTGAACAACGCTTTACAGCTGATCAATATATCACTGCAGCACGCTGGTGACTACAGTTGTGTGGCCAAAAACAGCGAAGGGACGACAAGAAGCCGTCCGGCCAACCTAAGAATAAGGCGTAAGTTTCAACATATAAATCATTTGAAACAATTAATTGTAAACAATTGTAAAGTTGGAGGTGTAAAATATTTTTTTTAAATATTAACTTTTAATTTAACTTATTAATATTAGATTATAGCTTATTAATTTGATCGGGCGATCTGTCTTTTATGAAGACTGCAGCTTGTTATAACGTTTCTATATTTTTTCTATATTTTGTATTCTTTCTTTTTATTTGATGAAATCAAGAGTATCGTGTATATTTATAGTTTCCCGTGAACATTTCACGGACAACTTATTTAACGCCTTAACCGACTTTACGAAGATTTAAGTTTTCAGCATTTGCCTGCTATATAATGCAATTGCTAGGAGAACTCAGTACTGTACCTCCATTGGCTCGCATAGTAGATAAGGTCACATAGGGTTTCCACCTTAACCAATACTTTGGTTTTGTCCTCATAGACATAGAAAAGTCCTAGAAAAAACTATGTGGCAAAACGGGATTGTTTACTGGTTGAGTGAGTACAGGTTCCCAGTGTATATAATCAAAATTGTGTATTCATCCCTCCAAAAGAAGTCTTTTTCGTGTTGCGCTAAAACTCTCACACTCACCTCTATTCGTTATAGCATCAGGGCTCAATCAGGTCCCACTCTGTTTTATATTTTTCTAAACGCTTTGCCGAAACCCAAGTTCTGTCAACTAGCACTATATGCTGATGATATTGTGCTTTAATGCTCCTCTTGGAGAGTCAGTGCGATAACTAAAAAGTTAAATATGGAATATTATCGCGAATAAAGCGCTTCTACTTTCGATGGAAGTTGATAATCAATGTCCTAAAAACTCGCTGCATTCTCTTACCAAAATCAAACCCTTGATGCACCACAGAGTATTAGATGAGGGAACGTATGACTGGTCCAAAACCATAATCTGCCTGGGTGTCAAACCGTATTCAAAACTGAACTTCACCGAACATGTAAAAATCTAGTGGGAAAACGCAAAGTAGCTATCAGAGTCTTATTTTCATTACTTAAAATCGATTACTTAAAATATATATAAATTTTAAGTTAAACTGACAAATTTCTGTGCCTTGTCACAGGCTCTTGTAGGTAGGTAAAAATAACTATGCTGCATGAAATCAAGGACGTCACATGGATTGGAGAAGAGGTACAAGGAGCGGCTACACTTCACAATTTTGAGTGGTATAAAATCATCCCATAAAAAAAAAAACAATGAAATGGTGAAAACCATGAAACGAATGACTGCGATCAAGCCATCCAAATAAAAATTGATTTTGTGACTATACTATTATTAATTGTTTAATATTAGTTAATAATTAATGTTGCTATTAAATGTGTTCTATTTTTTTTATCACTTTTACTTATATATTTATTCACTTATAAAGTTTAATCATACTTATATTTATACTTCCCCTTTTATTCTTCTTTGTTATAATTGCACTGTGTGCGTATTATTCAGCATGTGGTTTTTAATTTTTTTCTACTTTTTTTCTACAAGCAACAATATAATTTAATTAATTATTCTTTTTATCTAAGGTCTTGCTTATGATGAAAAGTTAGTGTCACGAGCGGGATTCGAATTTGGCTCAATACGCCGCTCGTTTAACCATCGTCATGATAGCTCAAGTGGTTAGAGCAGCGGCATATTGAGCCGAAGGTCGTGGGTTCGAATCACGCTTGTGAAACGAACTTTTTCATCTAATCAAGACCTTAGATAAAAAGAATAATTAATTGAAATAATTAATATGGTCAATTATGACAGCTAAACATATATGGATTAATATAATTTAATATTTCAATGGAGCTGTTGCGCACAGAGCGTTTCCTTTTGTTAATGTTTTCCAATATAGATACAGTAGAATTTTTTTATAACAACACCGGTTATAAGGAACGATCGGTTATAACGTACAAAGTCTTCGGCCCCGTGAAATGTCATAAGGCAAAAACATAGGGAACCGTTTATTACAAACTATCTTTTATAGCGGACAGCTCGCAAAAGTAACCCCAGTTGCCAAACGATTCTAGGAAAAATTCTTTGCCCTTTTTTAAATCTGTCTTTAAAAAATCTCTAAATAAAAAAAATTAAATAATTGTACCAAAACCACGATCTTAGTTTCTTCTCTTGAGGTAAAATTCGCGATAATGAAGATGTCTCGGTCCATATCGGGAATCGTGAAAAATAAAGAGTAAATAATCAAATACTTTAATAGTACCATAAAGTTAAAAAAATATTGCCCAAAAAAGATAGCGGATTACATATACAGTGATACCATTCACATTTGTAAATACGTTTTAAAAACATTTATGTAAATAAATTACTTTAACAGTTTAGTATGTATTTTGTACTTCCTCATAAACTTGATTTAATTCTATAATTATTGTGTGGTGTTTAGTGACCGTTAGTTAATGATTGATTATTCGGAGGTCGTGAGATGAGGTATGGTGGGGAAGGAATTTCTTATAATTTATTATATATTTATTTTTCAAAAACTATAAAACAATTCACACACTTTTTTTTTACAAAATTAAAGATCCCACACCAGTAACAAATAAATCTGACGTAATTTACACAATCAATTGTATAAATTGACCGGCAACTTACATCGGTATTAAATCCTAATAAGAGAGTACAATAACATATCTATGATTGCAAAAATCCCAAACAAAATCCTACAGCACTGGCTACCCACCACTTTGAACACCAACACAATTTCGACATCGACAATCCAAAAATGTTACACACAGAATAAAACAAACATAAACGTAACTTTTTAGAAATAGTTTACATCAACAAAGATAAACACAGCATCAATTACAGAACAGACACATGCAAACTCAGTCGCAGCTAAGCTAATATCATTAATCAAATTCAATATCGATAACATACATATATCACCATCACATCACAAAAAACATATAACATATAAAAAATCATTACATCCCACAAATCAAACATTTCTACATAGTCTAATTCTTCATCAATTTGGCTTTCCTTTTCCTAATTATCCCCGTCCTGAAAGGATAATCACGCCGAACCATTACCCATTAACATTGAATCTAAAGTTTCTAGCATTGTATAAATTCATTCATTTTTTCACATCCTACATGTATTTGTAAAATTTAAGCAATGTTTATAAATCGCAGGACCTGAAGATGATCTCAATAAAGATCGAAACGTTCGCAAGATAAAGAAAAGGTTTTCTAAAACCTACGTCACACCAGACCGCATCTCACGACCTCCAATAATTTATAATTATTTATGCAATGAAAACTGCACTACTATAAGCGTACGTGCATGTCAAATGGATGAAGAGTTCAGATATAACGAACTGTTCCCTATAAGCGATATATTGCTTATACTAAATACTGCCGTACAAAGTTTTATGGTCCCCTGTAGTTAGTTATAAACGATTTATACTGTATATCATTGAAAAATAGTAATCTCTCTCACTCTCTCTCTCTCTCTCTCTCTCTCTCTCTCTCTCTCTCTCTCTCTCTCTCTGGAGCAAAAAAAGAAACTTTTCGGAGTACAAGTCGACTTCACGAGGTGCAATAGCACCACTATCAATAAAGCAGTCGTTAACTGCCACCGGAATACTGAATGTAAGGAATAGTTACTATTGTAAAGTTTATTTACTTCCAGGAATTACGATTTGCTCTCATAATGAGAGGTTGATAAACAAATGATAGAATGTAAACAATAAAGGCAATTTATGTTTACTTGTGTGAAGAAGCTAATTATTTGAATTAACAACAAAGCACACGAAACGAGTTTTTTATTTATATATTCTGTCATAACTTTGTGATTTTTTGACCAGTTTAAAATCCGGTTGCACCATAGTTTTCAGCGTATGTAAGTATGTGTATATGTAGCGTATGTTCAACTTGTGCATATTTAAAATAGGCCTAATATATATTGTTGTTTAATATCAAAATATTATTATATGAGTTCCATTGCAATGCACTAAAAGACGACATCGAGTAGTTGATTTATTTATTTATAACTTCATTTATTCTTTTATCAAACATTGAAAAATATTGTTTAATTTTAGCTGATCTTGACGCAAGAGTCAAATAACAAAATGATAAATCATCTTGGTCGTCCGTTTTCCTAAAACATAATATATGTTTAAAAATCGACATTGATAATAATCGACAATTCTGATTCTCAACTAAATGTATTGTGATGCAACAAATTGCAAATCGGTTCATTAAGGCACAGTGCCTAAAGCGAGTTGGCCTCCGGCCCAAGTGATCCTCTATTCGTCATGAGTTGATCTGTGTCAAGTTGGGGCTATGGCCCAAGCTAAAGCCTTGGAATCAGACAACTGATTAGTGGATTACCTGTGATTCCTCATGGAGCAGTTCTACGGCAGTTAATTAATCAAAATTTCTTCTTCCTATATAGCCATACAAGCATTAGCGTAAATTGGAGACAACCAAATGAATCAGGTTATTTGTTGCTTTTAAGTTCACGCGGCGCCACCGGAAAAACATTGAGAACATTAAACATCCGTTTGTTATTTCCTATCATAAAATATTCAAAACTTTAAATAGTACAGAATTAAAATTGTAAATGAATAGTAATTAATAACAAAACAATCAGCATCGTAGAAGAAAGGAAGTTTAGATGGAAAACAATCAATTAATTAAGGTTTTAAGTTGAGATAAAAAAGTCAGTGTCAAGAGCGGGATTCGAACCCACGACGTTCGGCTTGATACGCCGCTACACTACCACTTGAGCTCTCAACCCCACCTTTTGAATTTTCCCTCCTTTTTGCCATTTTTTCAAATGTCGTGTAATCGTATTGGATTCTCGGCGACAAATGAAATGGCCACGGAGAGCTTTAGTGAAGTGTACTTCATTTTAATTCATTGCATTCACTATTTTTCGTGGTCCGCTTGACCAATTAATAACATTCAATTAATTAAGGTTTTAAGTTGAGATAAAAAAGTCAGTGTCACGAGCGGGATTCAAACCCACGACCTTCGGCTTGATAC